GCATATTTTTACATTTGCTGACTTTTTCTAGCACAATTTTCTGATTTAACGGCAAAACAAAAATCGAAATTAAAGCATTACTAGTATAATCTGAAGGTTATTCGATGAACTGCTCAGTCCCGTTATACGTTAGGTGATGGGAGAGGGTGACAGGAAAGTCCCATGAGGGTCGCTAGCCCTCATCAGTAAAAGAGTGTCACTGAGGTCGATGCCGTCTGTCTCTTGATGCGGGTCGTTTCTTAGAGTTGCAGAGTCTACTATGTTTGAATTAGAGATTTTTTAGCCAGAAATTTATGATATTAGCCTTTTGACATCAACGGCCCTCACCGAGAAAATTCAAGCGGATGAACCCGCACTACCGAGGAAAGCATCGAATCACACGGTCGCTACTGCGTTGCTTGGTTACACCAATTTGTTCCACTCGCGGCAGGTATATTAGAATAGTTTCTTTCAATTTTTTTCAGTTCTCCTGCCAATAAACAGTTTCGGGATCGTAACCAGGAAAGGCATTCTCTCCTCGTCGCAACGTAGTAGAATTGTTCCGACTCCGAAAAACGTACCCACATATCATTACACAGTAAAGGAAAACATTCGCTGCAGCGGAACTGAATAGCACGGTAATTTACGATACGGCACAAACTTCTCTTCATGCTAAATATTTATATTACTGCAAAAAAAATGCATACAACCTGCGATTGCACAGCACACAGTCCTCGTATTATGCTATCCCGGCTGGAATCTATTGTCTTGTTGAATCCTCACGCTGTTGAACCGATGCATCTATTTTAAAAGGAACAAATATTTAACATAAATATTGCAGTTCGCCCGGAGACATGCATCTGTCGCGGTGATCCATCCTTCCCAACGTCTGCCTAGAGCAGACGACGCATCCACACAAGCGATTATTTAAATGTAGTCCGTACGCTGGTAACACGATTCGATCTCCACTGAAGACCGTACGGTACCGCACCATTTTCCGCTAAAATTGTTTCCCCACCAAGAGTGTGCGACAAAATAACCAGAAGAATCTACACCGTCTCGGATAGCAGGGATAGAAGCATGGGGCGGCCATGCTTTCATCCCCGCTTTGATGATGATGGTAGTTAAGTGATAGCGCGGCAGTAGCGCCACCTCTAGGTTGATCTGAAGGCCAATACCCACACAGCCACTCTCAACCAGATTGTGCTTCCTACTTGAAAAGTGTAATAGATTACAATTACAAATTACCGAGCCTCAAATGTAATGGATTACCGTTACAAATTACTTTCGCTGAAAAGTAACGGATTACTTTACTTGTTACGTTACATATTACTTTCACGTTACTTTTTTCGTACACTTATCCAGAAAACAATAGAAAGAATTTTGATATTTTTCAAAAATATTCTGCAGCAACACTTTTCATTTCTCATAAGCCCGTATTAGGGTAGTCCTTGTAAATAAAATATTGCAGTTCAGAGAACAAGTGTTGGTGCACTCCGCTCACCTGTAAGCTGAGAAGGCACCGAAAGCTGCAACCACACCCGCCATCCCGGTAGCTTACGGCCTCCGGAAGTGATCCCTGGACTTGTGCAGGCAAAGCTAGCATATCGATGGACATTGAGGACTTGTACTATTCCCTAGAAAAGACTCGGTTAGTGCAGAGAGTGAGGGAGGCGAATGGTGCTGAATCTCGTTAGTTCCGATCGGGCTCAGGTATATCGGTAAGAAGTTTTCTACTATCCTGGAGTGTTTTCTGAAGCCAACGGTAGTTCAGTACGAAGGGAGGAAGTGTATACAAAAAGAAAGTGCGTGTAGAGGGTCATCAGTCACACCGACCTTAGCCGAAGTTTACCTAAGCTCTTTGGATCGTGCTGTGCACGATATCTACTGGACTTGGCCCCGGGTATGGCAATAGTGAGAAGTTATGTAGATGGCATTCTGGTATGTACGTTTACAGAAGGTCTACCAGAAAGCATAGAAGGCGTGATAAGGTCAACAGCTTCAGAATTAAAGTTTACAGTCGAAAAACCGGAGTAACATGCTCTCCAGTTCCTAGATGTACGTATTCACGTGAATCAAAGGTTATGTCGGGAATAGGGAAAAGGAAACTCAAAACCGGTTTTGCCAAGAATGAGTTGTCACTCGAAGACGGTAATGTCTGGTATTGTAAAGTCATTGGTTAGAAACGCGCTATAAATGTGTGTGTCCAATATATCGCTGATTCGGTTGGAAGGCAGTGGAAAATGATTATTAGTAAAGGATATGATGACAGTTTTATTAAAAGGCATTTAGAATTCTTTATCAAAGACAAGAGAGAAACGGAACAAAATCAAGAAACCGCTTTGCTGTAATCCCATATTTCCATGAGATTTCTCACAACCTGAGGTATGTGCGATGCAGCTTGGAGTGGACACGACCTTTTGTTCTGATGATAGGTTAAGTAAATTGACGCCACTTTAAACAGGTGTGAGTGAGTGCAAAAGGGCCCATCGGGAAAGATCGGTATGTTGCGAGAATGGTGTTTTGTATGAAATACCATTGAAGTGTGTGTTTAACTGTACGTAGGGCAGACGTCACGCTGCATCAAACACAGATTAAACGAACATAAAAAATGTGTAGAGCAATGCACAAAGCTCGGAAATCGGGAAACATATCGATGGATGTAACAACTGCACGGCGTTCTGGTCGGAGACGGCAATCGTACACACAAATGGAGGGACGATGTAACGAGAGGAGCAAGGGAGACTGTGCGGATAAAACCTCTAGGGAATTGTGTAAGTCAGGATTCACTACAATTCAAAAGCAGTTCAAAAAGCTTTTATTTTATATTTTTAAATGTAATGCCAAGTTTTTTTTGTTTTTTTTTGTGTGTGTGTTTTGAAGTGTGAGCAGGGAACGCCTTGTTTGTGAATGTTCAAAATGACTCTAAACCACTCCACTTTTATTTGTTTGTCTTGCTGTTTATTTTTTGTTTGCTGACGTTGTGTTGGTTCGAAGACTGTTTTTGTGTTTTTTGAGGGGTAGTAGGTGGAAAGGGTGTCCTTTGAATCAAAAGTAGGAACTGTGTTTAGAATAGAAGGGGAGAGATCATTTTGTTTAAGTTTGAAGGAAGATGAATGTTGCCTTATCGCGTCGACCTGTAAGGCTGACGTCCACATTTTTACATTACGGGATGGAGACTGTGGCCCTTGAAATGTATAGACGTGTCCTCTTGTGTGGGCGGCGATGACCTTGAAATTGAGACTATATAAGGAGGTGGACCAAATAAACGAGTTAGCTGAGTTTCAGACATCCTCTTGTTTATTTTCTGCCTCTTTTACGTTTTGATGTTTCGTGTCTACCCCAGTATCAGGTTAATTCAACACGGTTAACAGCTTAGATTTATCTGCGCAGATTTTGGTTGAGAGTGGCTTTGTGGGTATATATATAGGATGCTTGAGAAATAAACCAGTTAGCTGAGTTTGGGACGTTTTCTTTCGTAAGTGTTCCTTTGACTAAAAGTGTTTTTGTTTTTTTTCTTTTATGCAATATAGTTTTACGTGTTAAACGACATGAATGTACTAAGAGGCCCTTTGGAAGCCCGACTTCCGCTGCAAACGTCAAACTTCAAATGGCTTCACTAGCATTCGGAAAGTCCCACCTTCACGTAGATTGACTAAAAACAAGGTTTTGAACCAGAACCATCGTCTTGGCTGTGAAAAAAACATCTGCTTAAAAAGGGTCGTATATTATAGGCCATTTTCAAGGGTTCGTCAATCTACTATGACGGCCTGCATACTTCAAGCATCGCTTTCTGCGCGAAGCGTGTGGTTGGATTTGAGTTCATGTTGAGCGCTGACGCAGTGCGAATCAACCTTACTAATGCATTAGCTTAGTTGTGGAGCTCCACTCTCACTCTCTCGTTCGCCTTCGGTAGTGTGAAGCGCCATCTAAAGTTTCGTTTCAATACTGTGTATTCTATAGAGTACGATAAAGCACTATCTATACGCTGTGCTTCAAAACATATGCACCCCATAGAATGCAGTGCAGCAGCCAGAACAGCCGTCCCCGAAACGGCTGCGCGTCCAACGATGGGAGTAGACTGGAGGTCAGTTTACCAAAAAGAGTACACTGGAGGTCAGTTACCGTGAGGCGATTTAAGGAATTGCTATAGCGCAATATTTGCTAGAAAATTTCAGAAAACATCTTGTTGTATATTTTGGCTTTTAAAAAGCGGTGACCAGTTAGCCTCTGCTACGAGTTTTCCTTCGATGTGTTGCCCTATGACGAATCGGCCTATTCGACGAATGGGCCGTCGATGAGTTGGCCGTCGACGAGTTGGCTTTCGACGAGCTGGCTGTGAACCCGAGTACACTCCGAACGCTAACGCAAGAGTCGCGTTCATGACGCATGCTCAAAGTGCGTGCCCAAAATATGGAGACCTCCAATACTCGACGTACCAGCTAGAGAAGGGCGCGCCTTATTTACGAGGGTCCATTAAATTAGGTTTTGATGACACCTCGAAGATGGCGGAGGGAGAATGCCTTTGGCTATAGTGAATGTTAAGAAGTGCACGGGGGGGAGGGGGGGTAGCGAATTCTCAGCATAGCATTCTCTCACCACAGCCAATAAGATTGTAGAATGCATCCATGAGAACACGGTAGAACGAATCACAAAGGAAAAAAGATTCCCATAGGACACGATCTTCGTTTCTTAAACAGCCTTTGACGAGACGGCATATCAGCATGTAATAATAGTTCACGTAAGAGCCCGCGTCCTCCACTGTGCATTTCTTCGCAGTGCTTGCCTCATTTCTGGTACATCTCGGTGGACTTTCAACTCGCCATCTTCAGAATTATCATTCTGGTGGCAATCTTCCCGAGGTGAGTTCTTGGTGGGCCATGTATGCAATTCGACGCGGAGCGCATCGCTTCGAAAAGAGACTTTTTTTCTTTTCTTCACTCTCGGGTTTCAGGTGGCCAAAGTTTTGCTTCGGGATCATGGCGGCCATCGTTATCGCCACGTGCGCCGCCTCGGGATTGGTCACTTACATCAACAGCTACATGCCGTTCACAGTGATCCTCACAACGGACATCAAGTAGGTGGCTCCCGCTGACGGTGCATAGATCGATGTTCGAGATAAGCACTGGTTCGACGACACTCGCAGCTCGGGAAATATGGAGCATGATGAATCCCGTGCAGCTTATTATTGTTCCATGTCCAATGAGATTCAGAAATTAGCGGTTAAGAATGCCAATAAACAAGAGCAAGAAGCACGAAAAACACGCCTTGCGTTTCCTGAGCTATCTGTAGACGTGTAAACCGACGCTTCGAACCCACTTTGGACGCTCCGGATAAATTGGGTTGTTAATGTATCACGCTAGGATTTACTACGAAAGTGCCCGAAGGTGGTGGAAGCTTTCGCTAAAACTGTGGAAAGATTGGCTCACCTGAGGAAATCACGAAAAATCAAAAACAGTTTTTTCTATACTTTGCGTGTACACTAAAATAATATTGTGCGTCACTGTGGCGCTTATTTGGGCCAATTGAAGTGAAGAATATGGGCGCCAAATGTATTTTATTTGCATTTCACCTATCTTTCAGTCGTAATTAACACCAGAAGAGCCCAAAACTATTTTTGTATGATTTTGAGAAAAGAGGCTTAGCGATACTTCTTCCTTGGACGTAACGAGGTGTTTCTTTTCTTATTTTTGATGTTTTATGTAGTCATACTCTCAATTAATTAATGCATCACTTTCGGGCACTTCTTTAGTATATCCCAGCACGATACGTTGAGAAACCGACTTTTGCTGACCGTCCACAGTAGGGTCGAAGCGAATTGGTGTACACACTGTAGTTAGATCATAAAACCGAGCGCCCTGGAAATATGGGCGTAAAGTAGAACCACCAGCAAAGCCAGCTGAATTCGCTTGGACTTGTCGCGAGACAGAAGACCGGAACCACATTAATGAAGGGAGACGCCACATCATAACCAAAAACAGTAGCGCCACATTGAAAACAATTGCTCTAAACGTTGGATCATACGCTTCTAACCGCTCCTAACTTCCCCCCCCCCCCCCCTTTTTCTTTTTTTAACAGTTTCGCTTTTACAATTTTCTTAGTTAGGTCTCTTTTCTAAACTTTCCTCGCTGTTGCTATTTCCCCTGAAAATGCATAACATGTAGAAGCCGTACCATCTTGATATGAAGTGCGCCTAGATCTCATTCAAATCAGTGTCTATGAAAACATTAAAAGGCAAGGGAAGACAGTGATGTAACGCGTCTCGATCATTACTTATAACAGCACGTTTTCGTTACACTCGCGAGTTATTCTCGTGAGTGGCAGTCGCGTATGGCGGCTTGGCTACATTTATATGATTGGACACTGCAGGTCAGTGCCTGCTCTGTTCCATGGGCGCCACCATGTTTGTTTATGCTCACGCCATGACAAAAAAAGACGGCGCCAGACTTTTTTTTTTAATTTTCGATCCTTGAGGGGAATACGAGTACATCCTCTGTTCGCCCTTTAGGGGTGTTCACACGAGGAAGAAATTTCGGGGATTATTTTCTTCCCGGCGCGCGGATCACATGACGAAAACGTCAAGCTTGTGCGATGCGGCGCTATGACGTCAGCTACGAGGCGGAGGGAGGGAGGGATGCTCGGGCGCACAAACGATCCTGGTTTGGCGGCGGATCAGTTTGTTTTCGATTATATTTTGCCTTGCTGTTTGCTCTCAAATGTAAAACTCGCTAAGCTTTTCTGCGGTAGTGGCAAGTCTGGAAACCGTTAAATTACACGGCAGACGCTGAGTCCCCACTTCCCCTCCCCCCCCCCCCCCCCCCCCCCCCCCGTATATCCGATCGCCTGCACCTCGAACGCGGCGAGTTAAAAAAATAGGAAGAGTAGGACACGCTGGCAGCGGCGTTCACGCCAGATTGGCTGCTTGGCAACGCGTGGGAACTTGGATTTCGGATTCGGACGACACGTGTATCACTGGGGAGCGTGTTCACGCAGCCCCCGCCTGCGTTCAGGCCGCTTCGCGGCGACAGTCTGCGGCTGCTCACTACAGAACTATTAACCCACTTGGCACCCTTACCAAGACGGCAGCCCAAGCCCCCCTGTCCCCCATGCACCTACGGAAAGGGAGTTCCATACCATCTAGTTCAACAAAGTTTCGTCGACAACATTCGTTTCCGGCTTGCGCCCGTTTCCAGCTTAAACGGCGTCGCCGTCGGCGTCGGCTTAACCGCGCGGTGCATTATGGGATGCGTGACGTCCCCAGTAATGACGTCATCATCACGATAACGTCACTGATGACGTCACCACTGACGATGACAATGACGTCATCACGATAATGTCACGTGACCCCCGTGAGGTCACGTGACCCTAGTGACGCGACGTGAAGTGACGTGAGGAGGAGGGAGAAGGGGTATACGCTCGCCTCAGTACCCATCCCTCCTCCTCCTCAAGAGCTGCGCTCTAATTCGGTTTTACAGGGAATTGTAAGCGACTTTAATTTTTTTTCCAGTGTTAATTGTAAAAAAGAAATGGCGTGAATGTCGCCAAATGCCTCGACAAAATAAAATGTTCGAGAAAAAAAAAAAAGACGGAAGCCCACACGGCGGATCGAACTGGGGTTTGCTGCGTATGACGCAGACACCTTACCACTGAGCTATGCATTTTTTTTTCTTTATTACCACAAAGCTACGCTACCGCTTCGGAAACTTGTAATAACCAATGCCTATGTTGACGGCGGCAGCGTCTATCTCTACGAGCCAGCCAAGTCGGCGTGAGCGCCGTTGCTCTATCGTTGCTAGGTTGTCCTCTTCTCCCTCTATTTTTGCCCCTCGCCGCGTTGGCGGTCCAGGCGATAAGATACACAACTCCCGGCACTTCGTCCAAGTGCACGACGAAGCTAAGGAAGAAATTGCCCTGCTGTCGACGCCGCGCACACCCCTGCGCGGATTTCTCCCTCGTGTGAATACCGCTTAAACCTGAGACTGCAGCCAATTCCACAAGAAAGGAAGCTTGAAGTCGCTGCTTCAAAACGTTCTTTAGCAGAACGAGCGCTCGAGCTTGAAATGCACGTTTATAGCCTACTCTATTAAAACATATAAAAAAGCGCAACAAAAAGACAAGGACAAGAAGTATACAGGACAGGCGCTAACTTTAAACTGGTTTTATTCAGGAAAATTGAACACATATATACACACGACAGGCAAAGCAGCACCACGTAAAAGTTTATTAATTTTTCACCCGATCACTCAAAAACTGAAAGTCATTACAATTAAGAACAATAGAAGCGTCGCTGACACATGCCGTCCCACTTTTTTTGATAAAGAAAGCTTCCAATAGCTCTCGAGCGACCGTCTCTCGGCTTCTTTTTAGTATCCGTATCTTTTTGTTTTTTTTCCTTGTCTTTTGTTGGGCTGGACGTCATAGAGCCGCATCGCAAAAGCATGACGTATTCGTCCCGTGATGCGCGCGCCCGCAAAAAATCCCCGGGATTTCTCCCTCCAGTGAATTGGCGATTTTCACTTATTTCCCGCCATACCTACCTAGCCACATTTACGATGAGGTCATCATGGATCCAAACACTACGATCACCGGATCATTCTGTAGGGTGAACGAAGTATATACAACTATTCACCTCAAGTGCCAAATGGCTTTAAACTGTAATAAATCTAAATCGTTATCATTTTCCCGCAGTTCACCGTGTTCTATCCTCCTCTTACCACCTTTCTAGCATCCCAGTAACTGCTTGTTCGTTGTATAAATACCTAGGATTTCTTCTGACATCTGACTTGTCATGGAACACTCACAAAATATCTGTCATCGCCTATGCTAACCGCACTCTCGGATTTCTTCGCCGTAAACTCAAACAAGCTACGTCCCCAGTAAAACAGTTAGCTTATACTACCTTGGTCAGAACTAAACTAGAATTCGCTTCTTCCATATGGTCACCGTGGCAGGCATACCTAACTAACAACCTGGAATCCGTTCAAGTGGAGCCCTCTGTTTTATTTATTCCGACTATTCCCTTTATGCAAGCTTATTAGGGTTTCGCCAATCATCGAACCTTGACACACTTTCTTACCGCCGCAGGGTGTCTCGTCTTTCTATTCTTCATCGAATTTTTTATTACAACAATCATCTCAAACAAAGTTTGCTCTCGCCTCCTTGCCGCATTTTCCCTCGTATCGACAATCCTTGTAAACTCCGTCCGTTTACATCGTCAACCGTCACTCGTCAAATGTCTGCTTTACCATTAGCCATTGATGACTGGAACACACTGCCTGACGTAATTGTTTCCATATCTGACACTAGGAAATTTGCTGCAGCCATTACCTTATCTTTTCTAACCTATAACTAGATTGTAGCGTGTTTTTGTTGTTAAATATTTGTGTTGTTTTTTTGTTTTTCGAAGTGTTCACGCCCTTGTGTAATTCCCCTTGGCCCTTCAAGGAAAAATAGATGATGATAATGGTGAAGAATCAAAAATAAAAAGAAGTCTGATTCTTCGCACTGCGCTACTGATTTCTCCCTGCGTGTGTCGAATTAAGATATATGTAAGCGCCCCTTAGATTACCTTTATGTTATTTTATGAAGACGTACATAGGCGTACACTACCCTACTGAAAAAAAAAAAAACGTTTGAAATTCAAACGGGTGGCAAACTGGTCGATCCCCGTTTGAATTAAACTGGTGGCAAACCTGTCGATCTGTTTGGATCAAAAGTGATTTTGGGATACGGGTGCCCGTTTGGTACGGGTGCCCGTTTGGTACGGGTGCCCGTTTGATACGGGTGCCCGCTTGATACGGGTGCTCGTTCGATACGGATGCCAGTTCGACCAGCCACGTGACCCCACATTTGAACGCGCCATTCGGATAGGGAAATTATTCGCTTGCCCTAAATCGGTTTCGTCCGGGAGGTTGTTTATTTTTAACTTATTTAAGACATCCCGAAACTCATAAGCCTATTCATAACAGGGGAGAAACACGTAGAAAAAGTGTGCTCGTGCAGGTGCTTGCAAATGGGCAGGAAAACGGACACAAAATATGGTTTTCAATTCTCATGAAAATTTATTACAGCCTATTCCGTAGAGTCGCCGTAGACAAGTACAAACGTGCAAGCGATCTGTGAAATGTGAAGAGGCACTCTAAGCTTTTATACAACTGAAATGATTACAAAGCAAACAAGAACCGAAGTAATTGTAGACTATAATGGCACACTTTGGGAAAAAATACCCTCCCGGCTGCCGCTAGAACAGACGCTGCATAATTCTATAGATAGTCTCGACGTGTACCCGTAGAAGAACGGTCAATCGTTGCCAACAGGTAGGTAGGAATGCACTTACTACAATAACAGCGGACTTGAAAGATATAATCCAAGATAAATGTTGACACGGTCAAAGCAGGATAACTACACAAACACTAAAACGAGAAGGAAGGTTCCTTGAAGTTTCAACACGATGCGGCGCACAAGCTGTCATTTGCCGAACCCAGCCAAACCGCAAGAATTCCTGACTTCTTTGAAGAATCGCTTGTTGCCGATATACGCTTAGGACTTTTCGAACATTTGGTGCACATCACATACGTTGTCAAGAGACACCCTAATAAGACCGCAGTGAAAGGCGGCAGATCGAAGCAGGCAGGACAAGCGAAGTTGCAATGGACAACAAGCAGGCAAAGAAAAAGCGACTGTCAACGCGCGCGCTGCCGGATCTGGCTATGCTATCAGCGTGTAGCGTGCCCTCCCTCTCTCTGGTTACGTGACAGAGCTGACCAGAGAGGATGGAGGGGGCGAAGGCGAGGTCAAGGCGCAAGACGCCGGAAACCCCCCCCCCCCCCCCCCCCCGGCCCCCAACCAACACCCCTCCAACCCTCTCCTCATGCATTAAAAAAAAAAAAGAGCTTGCGGTTGGCTTTTTGTGACAATGCAGTCAATGCTGGGGGAGAGGGTGCACCATCCACTGTACACGCGCTTTCCTCCTCTCTTGGAATTGCCATTGCACGTCGCGTTTGCAGCCTCGGAAAGCAGGCGAAACGCGCGCATTTCAGCATCTTGGAGCGCTGGAAATGACGCCGGCCAGAAGCTCGGCTTGCACCCGAGCCAAAAAAGCGCCCAGCTCGATGTTCTTGCAGCCACGTGTTCGCGCGTTACCTTCGTTGAGTCTTGCATTGAGGTGATATGGAGTCTAGAAATATATTCTTTCACGCTGTCGCGTCCTCTGCGCGAGGGATTCGAGCTGAATAAGTAAATTGAGGCAACAACGAACGCCAAATTATTAAAGTTCTGTCAAAAATATCGGCTCGCCAACGTCGCACGTTTACGTATAAAAGAAATCGCTTATTGCAGTTGCAGTATAAGCGAACATCGGCGCAATCAAAATATAAGTATCATTACTTGCATTACGCGGACGATTGTAAACCGATAAACCGGCGCTCCCGCGGCTTTCCGGAAACAGGCTGCCACGGCTTGAATAGGCACGCCCATGCCGCCGATCGGTACGTTCAGTGTCAAACGGGCTTCGGAGATCCGCTTGATTAAACCGGTACAGTTTGCCGGTCACTGGTCACCCATCTGTACAACACGGTCGCCGGTTTGAGCAAACGTGCGGCAATTTTGCTCATACCAGTGGCCCATTTGATCAGACGAGTGACCCGTTTGCCAAATGAGTGACCTGCTTGCCCAAATAGGTGACCGTTATGGCTCATACGGGGTACCCCTTTGAGCCATACGGGCGACCCCTTTGACAAACTGGTGACCGGTATAGCTAAACTGTTACCGGTATCAACCCGTTTACTTTCATATAGGCGCCAAATGTTTTTTTTAGTAAGGTAGTTTAGCTTTTTTATTATTTTCTCAAGCTTACGTAGGACGTTTCACGCGCCAAAAGCATCGCAACTCCCTTCCATAACCAATGTTGCACATGAATAATGCGCAAAGCTTGCTTTTTTCTAAGTGATGAGTGTAGTCGTCACCGTCGGCAAGCAATATGACATAATATCTGTCCGATGTATACAATAGAAAGGCGTTGTCACTTTGCCTCTAAGTATTTTCTAAGCGGCAAAGGGTTGTACTCGCAGGTATATACTACCAAAATTGAATTACAATTAAACCATGACAACGATCGCCCATCTCATTGGCTGACGTGAATGAAGAAAGAGCAAAGATTAGCTCTCAAAAACTTCCGAAACCGACCCTTTTTTTCTTTTTTTTTCTTTTTTTTTTTTACTTTTATATTTTATTCTACGTTACAATCTCAGAGTTTATTATAGTCTTTTGGCCGTAATATTCCGAGAGATGCCCCCCTCCCCTTCCTCCCCCCCCCCCCCCCCCCAAAAAAAAAAAAATAACCCACACCTACTTTTAGCATGATTTGCTATATTTATTTTAAATTCCGAAAGATCGCCCACTCCTAGTAATCGTACTGTTCGGATCAATGAACACCTCAACTGAAATGCGGCTAGGTAGCTATGACGAAATATAAGCGAACATGGCTGACTGGAAAGTACAGTCATCTTTTCTTCATTTTTCTTCGCCAAGATAACAAGTTTGGCAGGAAGACATTATCTAAAAATACCGCTTTTTCAACTTGTCTTGGTTGTACACCCACAGTTAGCCCACCCCTATTTTCGCCCGACTTTCTCTTGATTTTAGATAGGCTGTTTCTCGAGATTTTACGGTACAATACACCAGCTCACCTCAACTCTGGGCATATTATTCGTTAGCTGTTCGTATGACGTTCTGTTGAAACCAGAGACATCTATTCTATATTTCCAAAATTTCACATCGGCTCTAACTTGCCCGGGAGCTTCTTTGTAAAGTAATTTCTTGTTTTTACTTTAGGCGAAATTCAGGTCATTTGGGATTTAAATTTTTAATTATTTCGTGATATCCAGCATTCCGTGTACTAGTTCGAATTCTTATATCCGTTCATACCCTGTAAAAAAGAACTGGGCTCACGTAAGTTATTGTTTTCCAACTCTGATTGCCATTGACAACGTGTTCCAACTTTCGTTATCAACAAATTTTGCTGCCTCCCGCAGGAGCTTGATCGACACGTCCCTCCACGTTTACCAGAAGGCCTTCGCTCACGCCCCGGCCCTGTTTACCGGAGTCATCTTCGGCTGCCTGGCTGCCAGGACACACCAGCTGTCCCGAAACATCCAGGCCTTCATGTGGACGGTGTCGGCGATCTCGGCCTCCGCGTCTCTCTTCGGCGTCTACACCTGGAGCAGCGGGCGCGCGCCCGAGCCGCTCGAGTCCGCCGTCTACGCCGGGCTGCACAGATTCGCCTGGGCCTTCGCCGTGTCCTGGGTCATGTACGCCTGCGCCACCGGTCGCGGTGGGCTCGTCAACAGAATGCTCGCCTGGCCCCTGTTTTACCCGCTGGCTCGGCTCTCGTACGCCGTCTACCTCGTGCACTACCTGCTGCTCGCCGTCAACACCGTGCTCAGCCGTGAAAGGAAGACCCATCAGCCTTTTCTTCATGTCAGTTGCTTGGCTTTTTCTTTTGACGTGACACGTTCTTTGGTTAGGTGTTCGACATTTCGTGAAGCCCAGATAAAAGTGAAGCCTGGATAAAAGCGTGGACGCGAGAATCGACACTGATTGGTTGGCGGGTAGGAGAGGAGTGAGGTGCTCGACGCTAATTGGTTAACGGGGAGGTCATGTGACCAGAGAGGTAGGCAAGGAGGAGCGCGTGCGCACTGACGGAGAGGGGATCGAGAGAATGGAAGTCTCTGGACGATCGCCAGGTTTATCAACCCGATTAGTGGTAGTATCGTTTCATTTTAGAAACAAGTATTAAGTGTACACATGGTACGCGTTTAACTATCTGATGAAAAGCGCCGCGAACGTAATAAGGTTGTGCGAACAGTAAATCGAATCGAATAGCGCCGCGTCATTTATAACCTCGAAAATGCAAGGAAACTCCAAGAATCGGCCGGCCATTTTGGCAGTGGAAAAGCTAGGGATGACGCTGCGCTATGCGAGTCGAACCACTATTCGCACAACCCTAGAACGCAGTCTTCTGGCGTCTCGGAACTAAGAGTATCGCTAAATGCTCGTGATACAAGAACGTTTTACGTATGCAATACTTGACACTGATCAATTGACGGGTGGGGTGGGAGATGAGTGAGATGATTGACGCTGATTGGTGACGTATGCCTAGTAATTTGTCCAACATTTTTTACTATTATTCGGACTATCAAGATGAAGGCGAAGACCGAAAGCAACGGACACTACGGTCAAATGATGCTAATCGGGCAGCGTCAAACGTGGCCCGTCGCTGCGCTCGTCGTTGGAAAAAAAGCGCGGAATCACGGAGCCTTCAGTGTGCGTGATTGCTTTAGCCGGTGATAGAAAGCGCACTGAGACAAAACCGCCTAGAAGACAAGGCTGACATTTTTGCGCCACCAGCGAGGGCCAACGCCGGACACAGATTGGAAACGAGAGCTGCGTCAGGCGATCAGCTTCGAGTCAAGTTGGAGCCGAACGTTGACCCAATCGTCGTGTCGAGTCTGTGGCTGGACACCTGGATAGCGAGGCCGAAGTTCTCGGCGTCAATTACAAGAGGCAGGCGCGGGGCAGGTTGAACACGAACCCCAGCTGTAGTCGTGCCCAATCTGTGTTGACGCAAAAACTTTTGAAAGCTGTTTCGCTGTCTATAAAGAAAAAGAACGAGCCGCGCTGTGGCACATGAGGTTCTACCGTGATCAGTGCCAGTGCAGTGAAGACTGCCTTTTTAGAATATTTTGAGCCTCGTCATTGGCAGAAGTCTCTTCGTAGCTTCCAGCGATTGGCATTCCGAAGTGCTGTGCGAAAGCATAGACACTCCAGATTTGTTCGAGGAGCAATAACAAGGTACTTCCGGGTATCCACTCCCTGCCTTCTTGATGTTGCCAGTGACTGCAAGTTTTAAGGGGTTGCCTAGACTGTGCGCGAGCTCAGAGATCCCCGAGTCTGCACTGCATCACTGTGGATTCGAAGCACCAACCATCGGTCCTTCTTTGACCAATGTAACCAATCAGAGAGGCATTAGTATGTACCAATGACCATTGGTACATACCGAAAGTCTCAGGGGAGTTTTTTGTCTGAGATTGCATGTTAACTGCCATGGCAACCAAAATGCTATCTATTTCGCCTTTCTCATTGGCTACACTAATTAATGAAAGGCTAATGATTGGCTTTCTGAGTGCTTCATGGCGCATTACGGGTGGTATTCACTAGGCGCCGTATTTGGGCGTCGAGTTCACAGCACATGCAAAGGCCTGCCCCCCCCCCCCCTTCTCTTCCGATAAGAGCTACAATTTTTATGGTGTAGAATGCACGGTGTGGAAGCATTGCAAAATCTCATACTAAGCTTGCGCTAAGCAGCAACGGACTTAACCATGGCCGTCAGCGAATAGAACCTCTACACACAGTGAATTATGGTGGACCGTGAATAGAACCTATACAAACATGGGGCTTCTGGGAGTGTTTGATTTGACTGTCTTGCTTTTCCTTGTAGGCTCAAAGTACCATCGGAGTCATCATTACGTCGAACGCTTTGGCCACGCTGACTTTTCTGTGCATTGAGTGCCCCTTCGACGGTTTGGACGCCTTGCTTTTCGGTTGGGTGAAGGCCAAGCCCGACACTGCAAAGGACGCTGCTAAACCGACAAAAGACCAAGAGTTGAAGAGCGTAAGCTCCGAGGTCGGTGCAGTTGGAAAAGATGCACTCTCCGCCGCTGTTCGTTAGAAAGGTGCACCCGTGAGGATGACATTTGCGGCCGTGGAGTTCCAAGACGATGCCATTTTGCGCAACAAAGAGCAGAAGACAAGGATAAGATCGAGTGACTTTGGAGAACAGGTAAAATAGAACCAGAAAACCTGCATAGCTACATCTTAATAGCAGTGACGCGGAGAAGGGAGGAGCCTAGAGCCCTGGTAGTATTTTTTGTGAACTGTAGATACATCAAAGTTTTAAAAATTGTTTCGTGCATTTTCTTAAAGGTTCGTTTTGTCTTTAATGTCATCTTTAAGTACCAACAAATTGTTTTGGGTGTTTTATGAAACAGCTGATGTTGAAATGTGGCAGATTCGTGTATTTTAAAAGCGTTTGTTCTGGTCAAAGGATGCAGGTGCTGACGAAAAGATCTCGAGCATTATGACCACTCTTTCAGGTGGAATGAAACAAACAGGAGGGAATAAGGAAGGAAATAAAAAATGCATCTTGTTGCAGGAAACATCGCGTCTAAGGGTTTGGGAGCCCCTCCCACGTTCGCTTTATAGCATCGTTCAAAATGTTTCTTTGATGAATCAGCAGCAAGTTGGATTGCTACTGTTACTTGACAAGCGAGCTGATACCTGATGAAAGCGCAAGTCTCAGGAAAACTAAACTACGAAAGGAGCTTTCCTATCGGTACTGAAGATTGATTCTTATTTAATGTGAAGTTTTTTATTTTTTTTTTCATTTTGTCTTTTTAGTTTAGGGCAGACAATTTTAGTCGTTCGTCGTTTACAGACACACAAAAATTTGAATTTGGTCATGTTATATTCTGGCGCATATGCTCTAACATTTTTAGACGTATCCAATTTTGCTGAGCGTTGAAAAGGCGGCAAAAAGTATATGTCTCTGTATACGACAAATTCATGAGTTGACCATCAATTCCTGCAGCACAATTTCGTTTCTGACATCATTCGAGCACAGGTGAAAGGTCCGCTACCTGACCAATAGGAGATTGAAACCCCCAACCAATATTTTTTTTTTGCATGTAAGATGTTATGTTTCTAAAAATAACTCGCATGGAAAAAAAGGGGGGGGGGGCGAGTCGATAGGCCACAATCGCGAGAGTCGAGAACCCACGATCGACTTGACACCATAACATTTATTACCAGTTTCTTCGTACATGATTGCGCACGCGAGATCATTTTTATTACTAAAGCGGCTCCCCTTCATCAAGAACCACGACCGCATCTAATTATTTTGCGAGTATGGTGAATCACTTCGAAATTCCAAACATCTGCAAGGTAGGTGAAGATCTTACCGAGGGTTTCTAATTGAAGGAGCTCAGGCACAACCCTACCTGTGTACAGCTTTAATTTTTCCTTATAGTTGCTATTTTGAGACGTGTCAGTAGACTTCCGAAACGCATCGCATGTTCTTGTCGATAATGATCTCGGCGACCGCATAATCTGTATAAAATAAGCGGGGTCTGGCAGCACTGGATCAGTCGCCATTTTGGCGACATCGCCAAAATGGCGATGGAGTCGTGGGATGGGCGATACTCTCTGGTTTTGTTAAAGGCGCACGTTCGCCTGATTAAACATTAGTGTAAGTTTTCACGTATGTCTACTTTTTGTTTCCTGGCAATATAACCTCACCCTGCAAGGCTCCGAATCTCTCCTTTGGGCTCCTGTATTAGTGTCATCACTTCACTCATCCTGTTGATTCCCTTTACAAGTTCTGGATCAGCGAAATAGCTAGAGAAGGTCACAAATTATAAATACCTTGGCTTGTTCTTGAAACCTGTTCTTATCTAACGAAATAATGTAACGAAAAACGAGCAGGAGTTAAAAAAAAAACTAAACTGATCGCTAGTTGCATAGCTTGCATTGAACGCAATTTAACGTTCGCTCCTCGATTCACAAAGTTCCTTGCCTATAACGATATTGTCAAATCACCGCTATAATTTCCCCTATATACGTGTCAGTCATACTTATTATAATTGTCTGAATATGGCCGGAACAAATAATGTGCATCTTATTCGCCCTTTTTTGTTTGGCAACAAACTCAAGGGCGCTGCCTATTGGGTAGCCCAGGCACACATCCGGTTCACGTACTTTTTTTACGCATTGTTGTTGTTTTATTATAAGTGTGAATTAAGTTTGACAGTGGTATAAGTGGCCACTTCCAGAAGATAGCGTGTATATTTGATTTCGCACAAATTGAAAAACCCGTCGGCAAGTTTAGACCCGGAAGAGGTTGGGGGCTATTTGCACACCGGCGCCACCACGTCTCAACTCACGCGAGAAAGAGCGAATAGTAGACGACTTTAAAGGAGAAGGCTGCGTTTGGGCCATAAAATAATAATAAAAAATTCGGCAGAGACACTTAAGACTTCTTATGTGTAGGAATACGAAAGCATTCTTACACGCAGCGCATTTCTACAAGGAGCGCGCCGTGTCTTCCCTTTTCACGCGGCGCTCCGGCGGTGACATCACGATCCCCCACTGCGCACACGCGACGCACCCGCCGGCTCCACTTCTTCCGTGACGATGCATCTGCGTTGCAGTGCCTTTTCTTTGTGTTTTATTTCAGAAGCGCTCCTTGAGCGCCGGTCGGCTTCCGTGACGAAGCATCTGATATGACGCGTTGCAGCCAATGGGAATTCCGCTTGTATGTTTGCTTTTCTGCTACAAACAGTTACAGACAACACCGGCTTCGCTGCATGGGACAGTTGAAGCTTCCGCATTAACAATTCTTCTAGCCAAGAACTTCCGCCGGTTGGTTGCTCCACAACCTGTACTAGCATTCCCCAGAATCGATGAAGTAACAGCATTCTCTAGTCCCTGCTTATCGTTATTATCCCGCCGTAGTCTTATTATCGTGGTATTATCGCGCCGTACCCAATGAGGTTGCGCAAGTATCCGATCATAATGCCAGGAACAAATCACGGCGCAACACTTCCGAAATAAGCCAGGACTGGCGTATCTGGAGCGGTCAGTGACATACTTTCTAGGAAAGCTGCCGGGTCTACTTTCCCCTCAAAGCTCTCGGGATGACATCCAATCGGTGCAATTTAAGTGGGGAGCGCGGCCAATGACGACGCAGGTATGATGTTTAGACGGAAAAAAAATGTCTGCGCTGTGACACTGAGCATAACGTTTCACGTGCTTACGTCATGCTAATCACATCGCGGACCCTTTATTTATCCTTATTTCAAAATATTTTTAGGTGTAAAGATTGCTGCGATTGGCTCTCTTAAGTACATTGAGGGAAATTATAAGCAGTGGAGTCTCGTATACTCCGTTTCGCTTTCGGTCCTATCGGAACTGACGCCACAGTCCGATGGAGTAAACCAAGAAGAGCCAAAAATACATTGTCACGCTGATCGCCATCTTTATGCGTTCGCTATGACCGACTGTAAACCGATCATCCGAAGTGCCGAGATCCAGAGCTTTTTTCGTGCGCGTGATTGGTTTAGCCGTCGATAGTAAACCCACAACGAGAGCAGGGAGAATGCACTTTTGGCGCTGCTTGGTTAATGTCTTCGCATCGGGTTGCAGTCGAACTTAAAGTGAACGAAGCGTAGAGTGTAGATCCACGCATCACGTATGCCCGCAAACGGAGAAGTTGCAAGACTTGTCTCGGCTACTCCATAAACGAAGCGTTACAGGTATTAACCGTTGCCAGTGTCGACCGCTCTTTGGAACAAGCTGTCAGGTCGCGTTGCTACCGTACATCCAACACGATGATTTGCGCTTAAAGCGCAGGACCTGGCCAGCTACGCTGAATTGTAACTTGTTTGTGTAAGTGTTCATCTTGAGGTCGTATTCTCTCTTCCCACCAACACCTTTCGCTCGCTTTAGGAAGCCCAGAAATGGGCGTCGGTAAAAATGAAATAAAAATGAATCGATTCCTCCAGCTTTTCTTGGCAGGTATTAAGTTGTCAACTAGATTTCAGAACATCTTTGATGTATCGAACATGTTGTGACGCATCTAAAATATCTGCAACGTCTGCTCTCCTGCAACCCACTTGGGGGAGCTAATCGTTTCAATTTACTGAGGAAGCTACACCAAGGACATACATAATATACATAATATGTATAAACATTAGAAAAGACACGTAAGACTGCTTGCGTGTAGGAACGCGAATGCATTCCTACACACATCAAATTCCTACAAGCACCGCGCCACGTCTTTTTTTTTCACACGGCTCTCCGACGGTGACATCACGATCCCCCACTGCGCAGGCGCGGTGCACCCGCCGGCTCTACGGCTTCTGTGACGATGCGTCTGCGTTTCTGTGCTTTTCTTTGCGTTTTATTTCTGAGGCGCGTCCGCGTTTGCGTTGAGCGCCCCGCCGGCTTCCGTGACGTTCACACACGTGACACTTGTGACCTCTTAGAACAAAGTGCCTTGGAACCGGCTAATATATCTTACAACGAGAGGACACACTGGCGCCATCCATTGGGTAGCAGTGAAACTTGGCGGTCCAGCATATTTTCTATTTCTCTCGCTCATTATCCTTACTTTCTTGGCTTGAAAAACTTTTTCTAACGCTATAAATAAGCCTTTCTTATAGGTATTACGCGCATTTGACCCCGGAAATCCCACAAAACCTTCATTCTTCTGGAATGCAGTTCCAGGGTCACCGCATAGATGGCGCCAGCCTGCCAGTGTGTTCTCTCGTCCTAAGAAATATTAAGAGGTTTCAACAGGTCTCGTCTCTCTTGGTCGTACTCGGTTGCAAGTGTGTAGACGGGCCTAAATCCTCCATGTCCCATTAAATGTAGTTTCTTGTTGTTGAAACCGTTGGCTCCGTGTTATTCCTCCGGGTCGGGTATGCAGCAAGGCGAACCGACCACGAACGTGATCTGCATTTATTAATTTTTTTTTTCAGATTGATATTACGTCGTGTTCTTACGTACTTCTCTTGTACAAAATTCCTGTACGTATGTTATACTTGTCTGAAAAGTGACTATTTCGACATTTTCTTTCAAAATAACTGTAAATGTTACTTTGACGTCCGTGAT